TTAGAACAATTAACCAGTGGAACAACCTGCCTCCAGAAGCGGTGAATGCTCCAACACTAGAAGTTTTTAAGAAGAGACTGGACAGCCATTTGTCTGAAATGATATAGGGTTTCCTGCCTGAGGAGGGGGTTGGACTAGATGACCTCCAAGATTCTTTCCAACTTTATTATTAGTATTATTAATATTAACTCGATTTGCGTGAGCAGCAGGCCGGCACATGCGTGCAGCTCAATTTACACAAGTGACGAGCCAGCATGCACGTGTGCAGCTTGACTTGCACAAGTAGCGGGTCAGCGTGCACGCGTGCACACGTGCAACTCAAGTTGTGCGAATGGCAGGCCAGTTCCCCTCTCCCCTCCCCCGGGCCACCAAACTGTAAAGGTTGGGGACCACTGCTCTAGTGATCCAACTGTTGGGGGGGGGCATGCCTGAATCAGTCTGAAATAGCCATCAAGCCCTGCTTTAACAATCCCACCCACAACTGGTCACCTGTCTTTGCAAGCCTTACCCATTTTGCAGCTGTGAAATTGGGCAGAAAGCACTAGTTCAAAAGTGGCCCAGTTGAGGACAACTTAAGGCAATCTTGTTCATGGATGAGATGATAATACCATCATTGATCCAATGGATAACAAAATATTGCTTGTAACATGATTGCACTTAAGTTCAAGTGGATAAAAAAACAACCCTTGCTTATTTGTGAAGAGTTTTTTTTTAATAGACCGAAGGGAAGGCCTGTAGTCTGTCTTCCTTTAAACATGATGTTTGATAGCCTCTTCAAATCCATACTTCCAAAGACTATTTGCACTTATCTCCAAGCACTTATCTTGGCAGCTCAGCAATATATATATTGAGAACAAGGGAGACAGATATTGAGAATATAATGCAGAGATTATGTTTTGGTTTAGATGTTCCACAACACATGAAATTTAAAGCCTAGACAAAGATGTAGGATGGGGCGTCATAGAAAGATCTTATGAGTTTATTCTAAAAAAGGTATATCATAACAATGAAGTCCTTCCTGTTTACTATCTTTGTGAAAGACAGGAAGAGGACCAAAAGGTTTCAATGGGCAGGACATTTTTGGCCTGGAACAAGTTGTGAGGAGGGAGCACACAGCACCAATTCACAACTCAGAAAAAAGACAGGATGGCAACCTTACATGAACACATGCTCTCTAGAAACTTTGGGCATTGATTCCCCTCAGCAGTCACTAATAGCAATGGAATTTGGAAGCATGGAGGAGTGCAACATGCCAAATGGATTGCACACTAACTCTCTGAATAGACAATCACTTATTCACAGATGCAAGTCATCGGTGTATGATTATGTTTTTCATCTAATCAGTCTCTGTCAAGCTATTTTTTTCAATCTGCAGTCCATATTTGTGATATGAATCCATGATCAATTTAATTGCCATTTATTTAGCATGTGAATTGCTTGATGTATTCTGTCCTACTACTATTATTATTATGGTTCATCTCACAGTCAGCCAGATGTTTAGACTGGTCTTGGCTTTTTATACACCTGTGGAGTACTTTCCAAGGATCTGGGATAGACAGATGTTCTTGTTTGCTGGTGTAAAGGGATCATCTCAGGATGTAAGCTGATCCAAATAAAGCTGCCTTTTGCAATTGACTGATAGGGACTTTGTCAATGCCAATTATTATTTGCTTCAAATTCAGTTGCTGACTCAATGGGCATTAATGTAGCAAACCACATGCAGTAGTATCATACATTTATAAACAGCTGGATAAGTGGGATTTATATAATCTAAATCAATTTTCCCTCCACTCTGTGTTCTCTGGATATTTTGGACCAAATTATTCCAGCCAGTATATCCACAGCTAGCATCTTTACCTCACTTTGAAGGACTTATTATTCTTATTTCCTTTTCCCACACAGGCTGCTTAGCAAGTAAATCAGAAGAAAAACTCTTTCGCAAACTGTTCTCCCGTTACAACCAGTACATCAGACCTGTACAAAACGTATCCAATCCCGTGAAGGTGCATTTCGAAGTGGCAATTACCCAGCTTGCAAACGTGGTAAGGCTATTGTTTGCCGGGCTGCAGAATCTCACATTTCAGCCTGGCAAAGAGACCCTTAATCTGGTGGTCCCTTCAGGGAATGATAGCACTTGTAGATTTCTCCCCCCCCCCAAGGCTGGAGGTGCTATTCCATGTATGTAATGAAGAAATTCTTATGAAAATAGGGACCCTGTGTGTATGCAACTGTGTAGTAGAGCAGGCATCTATAACAAGACAAAACATGTGGACATTTAAAACACCTTGGCTGTGAAAGGCTGTGTTAGGCTTGTCGCAACTTGAGCATTTAGGAAAGAAGGACCCTTGTCTCCTTTTTTGAAGTGAAAAGTTACTTTTACTAAAGTCAAGCGATTACAGCATAAGCAAAGCTGGATCTAAATATTCCCATGCAAAGCTTGCGTTTTTCCCTCTCCCCTGGCCCTCCCCCCTTGACCAATCTGCCAGTGAACAATGACTTTCCAACTAGGTGTTTTTGGGGACATCTTTGAGGTTTGGCGCCTCTTTGGTGCAGTTTCGCATTCTTTTCTCACAGCTCCATCCTTAATCGGCCGGCCTCTTCCAGATTGACACCTCTGGTTCCTGTCACCCTATCGTTCCCCCTCCTACCTCCCCAATCTCCCTCCTCCCTGCATTTTATGGCAGGATGCCAGCAAAGTGGAGTATGCTGAAGATGGCAGACCTGACAGGCTGCCTTCCCTCCCTAAAATAGAGGTAAAAGGGCTTTGTCGTTTTATATAAAGCCCACCATAGGCTGTGGCTATAAATAGTGTATATCAGGAAAAGTAGGAAACATTCCTTGCAAATGATTAAAGATCGCTCATTACCAGGAACTAAAAGAGAGGAAGCATCTCCAGTGTGTCCCAAAGGCGCTTGCTGTCCCCCCAAAAAATAATGGGCTTTGTTTTTGTTTTTGTTTTGTTTTGTTTTTCATTCCATTTATCTTTTGGAAAAGCACCTTTAGGCCTCTTGTAGGAGAGCTTACTAAGGGTTCATTTATGCAGGTTTTCCTCTCTCTCAGCAAATCATTCAGGGTGTCCCCTGTCGTTAACTTTCCCTTAGCAGCTCCCAGGTTATTGATTGCCTTTCCATCACGATTTGCTATAAGTAAAGATCTTTCAGCAAAAAATAGACACTCTGCAAATTCTATGCTTTCTTGGGATTTCTCTGACTAGCAGACCAGCCACTAACCGGGGCTGTAGAGCTTAAATGATTATCAAGGCAGCACTATGGAAAAGAGTCCAGCTTCCTTATCTATTTATTGCTAAATCAGTATTCAGAGGATCAACGTTCCTATGTAGTCATGCTTCTTCAGTATATCTTTTACTTGCTCAGGAGGCTTTTCATTAATCAGAAGCTGCTGTCATTAACAAAATAATTATAAAAGCCGCTATATTCTGAGCTCCTGTGGCGCTTGAGATTATGATGGGCTCGGAATTCTGCTTGAATGAGCAGCACTGATATCGGAGCTTCATTGTATGTGGGTATTAGAGTGCATTTAAAACTGCTCCTTTTGTACCTGATAACACTGGTTCTTCCCATCATGCTTCTTTGAATACCAACCTCCTGTCAAAAATCCTGGATTTATTTGTTCAGGCAGTCCATCATTTGCATGACATCGACTCTCAAAGCTCTAGATCCCTTACAATTGTAAAAACATAAGAGAATAATTACTTGAAGCCGCACTTCAAATCCTATTGCTACTCTCCACCACTTGGGATTCTCCTGCAGAAGACCACTATTTTTACGGTGTTCCTAAATGTTAATAAGATGGCACTCATCTTAATCTTCTACAAATTCCCCATGGACAGCTTCAGATGAGCTAGTTTGGGATGTAATGAGTAGTACAGTGCATGATTGGGGTACAAACAGAATTGTGTTGAATACAAATACTTGGTGACCGATCACCAGGAAAACAGTGGAATAGAAGGAAAAAGATAAGGAGAGAACATGCTACCCATGCAATAGCAATAGCAATTAGACATATATACCGCTTCACAGTGTTTTAGAGACCTCTCTAAGCAGTTTACAGAGTCAGCGTTTTGCCCCCAACAATCTGGGTCCTCATTTTACTGACCTCGGAAGGATGGAAGGCTACGTCAACCTTGGGCCGCTCAGAATCGAACTCCTGAAGTGAGCAGTAAGTTAGCCTGCAGTACTGCATTCTAACCACTGTGCCACCACGGCTCTTCACTGTAGAGCAGGGGTGTCAAACTGCCAGCCCATGGGCAGGTTGCATCATATGGAGGCTGCACCAATTCCAGCTCTGGGCAGTGCAAAAAATGTCGTGATACGTCATGATACGTCACGTGAAATGGCGAGTTTCACACTCGTGCTGTAGAGCTCTACCAAAGCTCTACCCCTTTTTTACATGTGTTGTACTGATTACCAACTTGACTTTTTTGAACATACCCTTACTGATGCTCCTACTGCTACGCCTTTGAGTTCTCCTGGATTCTGCTTAACCAGCTCCTCTAGAGATGTTAGAGCATGCAACCAATCTTCTTTATGTGGCTGCAGTTTTCGAATAAACATTAATAAGACTGTAGGCAGTGGTGGGATTCAAATATGTGAACAACCGGTTCTCTGTGTGGATACCACTTCCGGAAGTCCATTCTGGGCCTGGGCAACAAAAAATTAGCTACCGGTTCTGCCGGACTGGTGCGAACTGGCTGAATCCCACCACTGGCTGTAGGTAGTTGCCAACAACTATCTCAATATTCATGAATGCTTTTTTTCAGCCTCTTGTTTTCAATAGTTGTAAGTAAAGTATTCACAAACATCCCCAGACATTATCTGAAGGCAACATGTTTTTCCACCCAGATTTCTATTCTCTGTTCCATAAAGGTCCCCATGATCCTTTCAAAGTTATTTAGGCTGACTGGAAAGAGGTTTTAACCTTTGTTAACTAGATAACCTGTCTGAAGAAATAAATTGTTTGCCTCCTTTCGTCTGCAGGATGAAGTCAATCAGATCATGGAGACAAATCTCTGGCTGCGACATGTAAGCAAATTTTTGTGCCATCAGTGTGTCAGTGTACGTATGTGTTTATTGCCATGCTGGTTTTAGAGATGAGATCACAGTGGGTAATTGGCATTCAGAAGAGATTTGGATAGAAAAAAAAAATCAGGTAAGTATTTAGAGATGTTCCAGGGCACAGTATATCTATAGCAAAAGCGCACATAGTACTTCAAAAACTCATTGATTTAATGGACGAATAAGAGGAATGGTGTTCCTTAAAGCAAAAGGTCTATTCCAGGGGTAGGCAACCTTGGCTCTTTTATGACTCGTGGACTTCAACTCCCAGAATTCCTGAGCCAGCCATGCTGAGGGGAAAATGAGAGGTTTCCAAGCTGAGCCATGTTGGCTCAGGAATTCTGGGAGTTGAAGTTCACAAGTCATAAAAGAGCCAAGGTTGCCTACCCCTGGTCTATTCAGTGATGAATGAGATGAGAACCAAAAAAAGTGAGGGCGGGAACTAAAGTCACAGACAGAGAAAAGAGGCAACACAAGCAATGGGTGTTTGAGGGCCAGCACCATGATTAAAAGTATTCCAGTAACCATAAATGCACCTGAAAATGAACTGTAGGCAAGAAACTCCTTAGAGATTGGATATCAGATATTGGGAGCATTTGGGTAAGAACCATCACCTTAGTTTACAGATTCAGCAAAAAGCGAGAAGAACTTTCAGAGGCAGCAAAGACATTAGTGGAGGCAACGTAACTTCTTATCCAGGAGATTTGATCTATTAACTCTAAAGTCCACTAAACCAAAGTCTGTTGAATGGAGACCTTATTATAATTTTAGTGGGCTATTACAGAAGAAAAAAAACAAATAAGGGGGATTATTAACTTGAAACTCATTCCCAATCTTATGAGTCCAGGAGAACGACTGAGGTAACTAGGTATGTTTAATCTAATGAAGAGAAGGACTAGGGTTGATATGATAGCAGTCCTCCAGTACTTGAGGGCCTATCACAGAGAAGAGGGAGTCAATTTATTCTCCAAAGCACCTAAAAGCAGGACAAGAAGTGTGAAAGATCATTAAAGAGAGACCCAACCTAGAACTAAGGAGAAATTTCCTGGCAGTGAGAACAATTAATCAGTGGAATGGCTTGCCCTCAGAAGTTGTGGGTGCTCCATCATTGGAGGTTTTCAAGACAAGATTGGACAGCCATTTGTCCAGAATGGTATTGAATCTCCTGCCATGAGCAGGAGATTGGACTAGAAGACCTCCAACCAACCCTTTTATTCTATGTTCTATTATTCAAACTCAGGGGTAGAGAAATTGTAGCAATCTTGAGGTTGTTAATTCTTGGCTCCCAATGGTCATGATGATGGCACAGTTGCAATACCTTGAGGGCAACTTCAGTAACAACCTTAGTATGAGAATCACTTTACAGGTACAGTATATCATAGGATTGAACACTTATTATTTCTCCTTTTAGATTTGGAATGATTATAAATTGCAGTGGAATCCAGTGGAATTTGGTGGAATTGAATTTATCCATGTGCCGTCAGACAAAATTTGGAAACCTGATATTGTGCTTTACAATAAGTATGAACATTCATCATCATATTTAGTCATATTAACAGGTTTATTTTGAGTTAGAAATGTACAGCTTAAGATTGCTTTGTGCTTGCATCTGCAGTGCTGTTGGAGATTTCCAGGTTGAAGGACGAACCAAAGCTCTTCTCAGATACGATGGCACCATCACCTGGACACCACCTGCCATTTTTAAAAGCTCCTGCCCCATGGATATTACCTACTTTCCCTTTGATCACCAGAATTGCTCTCTAAAATTTGGATCGTGGACATATGACAAAGCCAAGATAGATCTTTTGATTGTCGGTTCCAAAGTAGATATGAAAGACCTTTGGGAGAACAATGAATGGGAAATAGTGGATGCTTCTGGCTATAAACATGACATAAAGTACAACTGCTGTGAGGAAATCTACACGGATATAACCTATTCTTTTTATATCCGAAGGCTCCCCATGTTTTACACCATTAATTTGATTATACCTTGCCTGTTCATTTCATTCCTGACTGTATTAGTATTTTACCTTCCATCTGACTGTGGAGAGAAAGTAACACTTTGCATCTCTGTCCTCCTTTCACTGACTGTTTTCTTGCTGGTAATCACAGAGACAATTCCCTCAACTTCTTTGGTCATCCCACTAGTGGGAGAATACTTACTATTCACCATGATATTTGTGACACTCTCTATTGTGGTAACAGTGTTTGTACTGAATATCCATTACCGGACTCCAACTATGCATACGATGCCCAACTGGGTCAAAACTGTCTTCCTTGGTCTTCTGCCCAAATTTCTCATGATGAAGAGACCCATACAGAAACATGCTGACTCCCAACCCCCCAAACCTGCGAAAGAAAGCGCCACTAAACCCAGCAAGCCAAAGGCAGATGAGCTTGCAGAAGTGAAAGTCCTCGGTGAGCACCAGTGCTGCCACTGTGACAACTCCAAGGATGTGAGGAAGAAAAGGAGACAGAGTTGCCAGTCTGCCAAATGGGAGGCTGAATCAATCGAGTATTCCCCAGAGGTTAAGGAAGTCATTAACAGCGTTCAGTTCATCGCAGAAAACATGAGGTGTCAGAATGAAACTAAAGAGGTAAGATCTCTGAGGAACGAGATTGATTGATTTCTAGCTCCAAAGACTACAGTAATTTGGGGGCATTTCTCTAAATGTGATAGAAAACAAAAACCTAGTTAGTTGGGGGGAAAAACCTGCACCTGAGAGTTAGAGAGGTGCAATGATGCAGCACTACTGGCATGAATGTGTAAAAGGCTGCCTAATGGAGCTCTTTAAGCAGCATCAAAATTGTTAAGTCCTGCTAGAAGAAGTGAAAACGGTAGAACATTCTTTCTCTGGTTTTCAGTTTCCTCTAGCAGCAGAAAGGACTGCAGACAGGATAAAAGGGAACTCATGCTAGCTGTGTCTCAATTACCAGAGGCACCATTTCAAGGATTGCCCTGAGTGAGATTCAGCTGATCAACAGAAGTTCTCCAGAGCTTTAGAAAAAAAAGAACGTTTTCACTGGAGATTGCTGTGGCTTAAAGATGAAGCCTTCTTTTCTTTTTTTTCCCCTCCTAAATGTCCTCTACCATTAAGCCATGATAATGGACATATCTCTTGCATTGCTTAGCACCGTTCATCTAACACAGTGGTTCTCAACCTTTTTAATGCCGCGACCCCCAACCGGTCGTAAGTCAAGGACTAAACCGGTCGTAAGTCGAGGACTACCCAACCGGTCATAAGTCGAGGACTTTCCCTGCCCGGGAGTGCCACGCATGCGTGGTTCCGCCCCCTGCGCCGGTCAAGTGGCAGAGACGGAGCAGGCTGACCACCAGCTGGCCCAGCTCAAGGGAGGTAAGGCACCCGCTGGAAAAGGGAGAAAAAAATGGCGGACAGCCTTGCTTGGCAACCCCCGTGAAATGGTCGATTGACCCCAAATGGGGTCGCGACCCATAGGTTGAGAACCGCTGATCTAACAGTTGATGGCAGAGTAAACTCAATTGTAGAAAAGAGAGACCAACTGATTCTACATTCCAGTTGTAAGGGAGAGGGAAAACCATAGCTATGATCTAGCTATATGCAGACTGACATAGGATAATGCTAGACTAATACAACTAACACCAAGAAAAGGGAAACCAACTGCATACAGAGCACCCAGGAAAGAGTTTGAGAGTCCCTTTGCAAAATATTGGATGGAAGCATGGTCTGAGTGCTTGTATCTCCTTGCCAGTCTTTTTACTGCTTAATTACTCATGCTTTCTTTTTGGGGTGCCAAAGCGTAATAAACGCTCTGTGACAGTTCTTGCTCCTTCTTCTTTTTATAGTTCATTCCCTTCCAGGAGACAGATAAACAGGCAACAATGCAAGAAGGAGAAAGAAGGGCTAGTGGTTCCAGGATTGGCATTGGCCTCCTACTGAGTTATGGGGCTTGAGAGATGCCCAGTTGTCTCAAACCAGATGCCTTCCAAATTTGTTGACCTGTGAATTTCTAGCAGCAAGAGAACAGCTGTAGTATCTGAAGTTCAAGACAACAGGCTGAGGAAGGCTAATCAAGAGCAAAGATGGATAGATAGTCGAAAGGGACAAATTAGCCAAGTATTGTCATGTACAGTGGTAGCTCAGTACCTGACTGCTTCAAAACTCTTTGAACTTGGTACTTGATGCATTTTGATGTGAAAATGTCCTGGTACTGATTGTTTGTTGGTACTTGACATGATGCAATAGGAAAAGGGGGACGACCACAGAGAATAGACCAGAAGTCGGCCATGCTAGGAAGGTCGCTGATTAGGAAATCAAGGCAGAAACTAAGGGTCGCCTGGTAAATCAGTGGTTTGTTTGGCACGCATCATGTTTAGTACGTCATGCCACCTGGAACCAATTAATGATGCGCATTGAGATAGCACAGTATATCCTTTCCTGGGCATTTTGCTAGTTAAAGTACTTTTGACACTATATTTACATGAGCTACAAAAGGGTACGAGGGCTTTTAAAATGAACTTCAGAGGTTGTGCTAATGGCTTTGGTTACTTAAAGGTATAAATATTTCATGTCGGGAGGCTCTCTGACTTTGGCAATAAGTCTCTAAATAGACATGTAGAAGCTCTAGGACAGAGGCCCTGATCCCAAGATGGTATTTGATCAGTGAAGGTCTATTGAATTCTATAGGCTGTGCTGATGTGTAGAAACATAGAAGATATTTTGAAAAATAGCCAAGCACGTACACAAGATCCAAACTCCAGTGTTGTAGCTAAGCCTGGGTTGACTATGGCAATCAGAGATTCAGAGAAAAGGGCCTTCAACAAATATAAATTTTAGTGGAAAACCTCCTAGTGCAGAAAGCAAAGCATCTGGCTTTCTGTCCTCAGTTCACTAAAAGAAGAGATGTTAACCGTACTATTTATATTTATTGAATAGAAGGCCAAGGGCATGATAGGGATTAGGAAGAATGATTATTTCTATTTTAGTTTTGGAAAGGAATATGATTTTGACTTGCTGGTTAAGTTTGGACTTCAAAATAATTCTCACTCTTATGGTTCTCCAAGACCATTTTTGTCAAGATCTATCACCAACACAAATAATTGTTGACTATATATATATTGTTTAAGGAACTCTAAATTAAGCTCACCTGCAGAGAAGTCTAAAGTAAGGATGGGAACAGCTGATCTTATAGATATTGTTGAATTATAGCACCAAACAGATCTTGCCAGCAGCATGACCCAAAATGAGAGATAGTGGGACTTGTAGCTAATAATTATGCAAGGCTTTGTACTTCTTATCAATGAAACATTTGTAGGTAGAAATAACCTAATGTAAAAGAAATTAAATGTTCTGTAATTTATTGAGAAATTGGAACAATGTGGAACATGACAGCAGAAAACGTGCCAAATTCTTCTTTACAAATAATGCCAAAATATTATATAATTGTATAACAAATATATATATGAAGATTCTATCTTGTGACCTATGGTTACACCAATAAATGTTTCATATGAATCTATCTGAAGATTCTAAATGTATCTTTTTTGAAAAAAAATAATAATTGAGAAATCTCAGGAAGCACAGAGTCATTTTAATAGATAGTGTCAGTTAAATATTATGAATTCAATTGAACATGTATGTGTTTTCTTATGCATTGCAGGTAGAAGATGACTGGAAATATGTTGCCATGGTAATCGATAGAGTATTTCTGTGGGTGTTCATAATTCTCTGTGTATTTGGAACAGGGGGATTATTCCTACAACCATTGATAGCAGATGTATAATATATGGGTGGTGATCCACATTTTGCATGATCCTTTTTAATAGGATAGACAAGCCACACTTTGGCAACAGTTTATAGAATATCAGCTTTCATCTCAAGCCAGAAGAAAAGTATTCTCATCACTTTACGATGTATTAAGCCAGCCTTTCAGATGGGTAGACTAACTCCCATTATCCACAGCCAGCAAAACCTATGGAGTTCCACCTCAACCTTTTGGGAGGATAGTAGATTGGAGAAATCTGTGTTAATATAGTGGCTTTCAAATGTTCCTCAGATAATCCTTTCTACATTGATTTTTCTGCTAAGAAATTATTCATTACAGTATCTGCTATTGTACATATCTCTAAGATAAACAGCAGATTAATATTCATACCGGCTCAGATTCCTGGTCCTTTGTACAAGAATAGGTTTTTGCTTCATTTATAGAAGGAATAAAATAGTGTAGGTCAAGATGAATCAGAAGAGAATCGTCAGTTCAAATGCTCACAACTGTTTGTCAACATTCCTTGTAAAGAAAAATCCTTTATACATAAGCCATTCATTTTGCAAGTAATAAATGTATAGTTTGCTGAGTGATGCAGTGGCCTAGAAGTGAAGATCCTCGCATCCCACTCAGAAAGTTGAGAGTTTAATCCTAGGCAATGACAGATGTTTCTCTATTAGGATGCAAGCCTAGATGTCAGGAAGGCTATCCGGCCTGTAAATGTTCAGCTCCACTCAGTCTCCCTGATGCCACCTTAAAATGAAGGATTTGAGGGTCATAAAAAGAAAAAAACTGAATAGATTGCTAATCAGTCTAGTGAAGTTATTAATAGTAGCTGGTTTTTTCTGTATGCTTATCTTTCAAATTAAAATCATGCTATTTTTCTCAATTAGATAAACTCCAAACATGCTTGATTGTAACCCATCATCCCTATTTTTAATGCTGATGGGGGGGGAGATGAAATTTAAACACAGCTGGAAAGCATCAGGTTGATGGACGGTGCACTTAACTATATCTGAAGGACAACAGAGAAGGAGAATAACCAGATGTTTCTCTGATGGTATCTGAGGGTCACTCATAGTATAATTCCTGACCAACCACAGAAAGTTCACTAGACATTATTTGCTACATTTCACATGAATTAAATACTACTGTTGGAAGCATAGCTGTGCTGCTATTTTGCTTTTGGTAAACCATTTATAAAAGACATTTAAATGTAATGTTTTGGGTACTTATTTGGTGACTGTCCAAGCTATTGTAACAGAAAATGGCAGGGCTAATGCCTTTTCTGAAAGAAACAGGAAATTACAGCACTGTAGATATATATTTTTTTTCTGATCAACTTCCTTTCTTTGAATCCTGCCATACCATAATCTGTTTGATTTACAAATTATTCCAACTACATTGTAAACTCAGCTGATTTTTCTCTTGTTTTTTTTCACCATTTAGAGGGGCACCCCACCACTGAATGAGTATACTGGTAGTCCTCGCCTTATGGCCACAACTGAGGCCAAAGTTTCTGTTGTTAAGTGAGATAATTCTCAAGTGAGCTTTGCCCATTTTATGACATTTCTTGCCACAGTTGTTAAGTGAATCGCTGCAGGTGTTAAGTTAGCAACACGTTTGTTAATCAAATCTGGGGTTCCCCATTGATTTTACTTGTCAGAAGGTCACAAAAGGGGATCATATAACACCCCCCCCCGGACACCGCAACCATCATAAAAATGAGTTGGCTGCCAAATGTCCGAATTTTGATCATGTGACCATGATGAGATGTGTCAACGGTCATAAGTCGTTCTTTTCAGTGCTGTTGTAACTTTGAATGATCACCAAACGAATAGTCGTAAGCTGAGGACTACCTCTACTTGTCTTTCCTGAACAACAGCGTTTTCCCAACCTAGTCTCCTCAAAGACATGCTGAGCCTACAACTTAGAATTCTCAGTCGGTGTGTCTTTTAGATAGTTGCCCAGTCTTGATTGTTGTAGCTCCAAAACATCTGGAGCAATGTTTCTCAACCTGGGCAATTTTAAGATGTGTTGACTTCAACTCCCAGAATTGTGGAAGTTGAAGTCCACACCTTCTAAAGTTACCCAAGCTGATCTGGAGACACTGTGTTAGGAAAAAAATGGATTTAAAAATCTGGTGCCCTCCAGATTCTAAACCCTGTCATTTCACAGACTGGTTAGNGTTTAATCTACCAAGCTTTCGTCAAGTGCACTTGACATCATCAGGGTTAAAAAGGCAAATGATCATCAGGGTTAAAAAGGCATTTGCCTTTTTAACCCTGATGATGTCAAGTGCACTTGACGAAAGCTTGGTAGATTAAACTCTATATGTTTTATAGATTTCTCTTGGTGGTCGCTTTGTTTTATAATATATATATGCCCAGTCTTGTTTAAGGAACTCTAAATTAAGCTCACCTGCAGAGAAGTCTAAACTAAGGATGGGAACAGCTGATCTTATAGATATTGTTGAATTATAGCACCAAACAGATCTTGCCAGCAGCATGACCCAAAATGAGAGATAGTGGGACTTGTAGCTAATAATTATGCAAGGCTTTGTACTTCTTATCAATGAAAACATTTGTAGGTAGAAATAACCTAATACTTATGTAAAAGAAATTAAATGTTCTGTAATTTATTGAGAAGTTGGAACAATGTGGAACATGACAGCAGAAAACGTGCCAAATTCTTCTTTACAAATAATGCCAAAATATTATATAATTGTATAACAAATATATATATGAAGATTCTATCTTGTGACCTATGGTTACACCAATAAATGTTTCGTATGAATCTATCTGAAGATTCTAAATGTATCTTTTTTGGGGAAAAAAAGTAATTGAGAAATCTCAGGAAGCACAGAGTCATTTTAATAGATAGTGTCAGTTAAATATTATGAATTCAATTGAACATGTATGTGTTTTCTTATGCATTGCAGGTAGAAGATGACTGGAAATATGTCGCCATGGTAATCGATAGAGTATTTCTGTGGGTGTTCATAATTCTCTGTGTATTTGGAACAGGGGGATTATTCCTACAACCATTGATAGCAGATGTATAATATATGGGTGGTGATCCACATTTTGCATGATCCTTTTTAATAGGATAGACAAGCCACACTTTGGCAACAGTTTATAGAATATCAGCTTTCATCTCAAGCCAGAAGAAAAGTATTCTCATCACTTTACGATGTATTAAGCCAGTCTTTCAGATGGGTAGACTAACTCCCATTATCCACAGCCAGCAAAACCTATGGAGTTCCACCTCAACCTTTTGGGAGGATAGTAGATTGGAGAAATCTGTGTTAATATAGTGGCTTTCAAATGTTCCTCAGATAATCCTTTCTACATTGATTTTTCTGCTAAGAAATTATTCATTACAGTATCTGCTATTGTACATATCTCTAAGATAAACAGCAGATTAATATTCATACCGGCTCAGATTCCTGGTCCTTTGTACAAGAATAGGTTTTTGCTTCATTTATAGAAGGAATAAAATAGTGTAGGTCAAGATGAATCAGAAGAGAATCGTCAGTTCAAACGCTCACAACTGTTTGTCAACATTCCTTGTAAAGAAAAATCCTTTATACATAAGCCATTCATTTTGCAAGTAATAAATGTATAGTTTGCTGAGTGATGCAGTGGCCTAGAAGTGAAGATCCTCGCATCCCACTCAGAAAGTTGAGAGTTTAATCCTAGGCAATGACAGATGTTTCTCTATTAGGATGCAAGCCTAGACGTCAGGAAGGCTATCCGGCCTGTAAATGTTCAGCTCCACTCAGTCTCCCTGATGCCACCTTAAAATGAAGGATTTGAGGGTCATAAAAAGAAAAAAAAACTGAATAGATTGCTAATCAGTCTAGTGAAGTTATTAATAGTAGCTGGTTTTTTTCTGTATGCTTATCTTTCAAATTAAAATCATGCTATTTTTCTCAATTAGATAAACTCTAAACATGCTTGATTGTAACCCATCATCCCTATTTTTAATGCTGATGGGGGGGGAGATGAAATTTAAACACAGCTGGAAAGCATCAGGTTGATGGACGGTGCACTTAACTATATCTGAAGGACAACAGAGAAGGAGAATAACCAGATGTTTCTCTGATGGTATCTGAGGGTCACTCATAGTATAATTCCTGACCAACCACAGAAAGTTCACTAGACATTATTTGCTACATTTCACATGAATTAAATACTACTGTTGGAAGCATAGCTGTGCTGCTATTTTGCTTTTGGTAAACCATTTATAAAAGACATTTAAATGTAATGTTTTGGGTACTTATTTGGTGACTGTCCAAGCTATTGTAACCGAAAATGGCAGGGCTAATGCCTTTTCTGAAAGAAACAGGAAATTACAGCACTGTAGATATATTTTTTTTTTCTGATCAACTTCCTTTCTTTGAATCCTGCCATACCATAATCTGTTTGATTTACAAATTATTCCAACTACATTGTAAACTCAGCTGATTTTTCTCTTGTTTTTTTTCACCATTTAGAGGGGCACCCCACCACTGAATGAGTATACCGGTAGTCCTCGCCTTATGACCACAACTGAGGCCAAAGTTTCTGTTGTTAAGTGAGATAATTCTCAAGTGAGCTTTGCCCATTTTATGACATTTCTTGCCACAGTTGTTAAGTGAATCGCTGCAGGTGTTAAGTTAGCAACACGTTTGTTAATCAAATCTGGGGTTCCCCATTGATTTTACTTGTCAGAAGGTCACAAAAGGGGATCACATAACACCCCCCCAGGACACCGCAACCATCATAAAAATGAGTTAGCTGCCAAATGTCCGAATTTTGATCATGTGACCATGATGAGATGTGTCAACGGTCATAAGTCGTTCTTTTCAGTGCTGTTGTAACTTTGAATGATCACCAAACGAATAGTCGTAAGCTGAGGACTACCTCTACTTGTCTTTCCTGAACAACAGCGTTTTCCCAACCTAGTCTCCTCAAAGACATGCTGAGCCTACAACTTAGAATTCTCAGTCGGTGTGGCTTTTAGATAGTTGCCCAGTCTTGATTGTTGTAGCCCCAAAACATCTGGAGCAATGTTTCTCAACCTGGGCAATTTTAAGATGTGTTGACTTCAACTCCCAGAATTGTGGAAGTTGAAGTCCACACCTTCTAAAGTTACCCAAGCTGATCTGGAGACACTGTGTTAGGAAAAAAATGGATTTAAAAATCTGGTGCCCTCCAGATTCTAAACCCTGTCATTTCACAGACTGGTTAG